TAACAACAACAACAAAAACATTTGTTACTTGAAATAAAATATAATCTTAAACATTTTATATCTTAGCTAATTCTTCGTTTTAATTTAGTTTAACTTATTTGTACTAAAATTAAAACAAAAAAATTATAAATAAATTGTTTAACTTGTTGTTCAAAAATTAAAAAATTTAAAATTGATAAATAAATAAGCTATTAAGAATTCAAATGAAAATATAAAACATAAAAATTGATTTAAAATATTAATAACTATAATTGTATGTCAATGATCTGTGTGTGTGTGTGTGTGTGTGTACCTGTTTTTCTATTCTGGTGGGGACTTAAACCTGAATACACACAGACTCATGGGGACTCGTGTCACGGTGGGGACCTAAATTGAGGTCCCCACGGGTAAACAAGCTAATAAATCACACAGAATGAAGTTTTTTGAAAATCTAAAAATGCAGAAAGTTTCCTGTGAGGGGTAGGTATAGGGGTAGGGTTGGTGTAGGGCAATATAATATACGGTCTGTACAGTAGACAAACCATTACGCCTATGGAGAGTCCCCACAAGGATAGCAAACCAGACGTGTGTGTGTGTGTGTGTAAAACAAAATAAAATAAAATAAAAGAGTATGTACTCCCTAGAGGTAAACTCTAATGTGAGTTGGCTAATTCAGCCATTTCTGGATAAGCAAAATTACATGGGATCCCAATGGCAGTTTAATGATTGTCTGCCATGTGATCAGATTAGTGAGAATAAAGCTCCATCCACTGGATAAACTGTGTTACTACAGAACCGCAGAATCGAGGTTAGTGTTGTATTTTAGCTTGCAAAATTGCTACAAACCTGACTTGCCTCAAGCGCTGAGATATAAGATGTGCAAGATATCATGTTATGCTTTAGCGATTCTGTTTTTACAAAATAGTACACGGGTATAGGCTATGTGTGTGTGAGTGTGAGTGTGAGTGTGTGTGTGAGTGTGTGTGTGTGTGTGTGTGTGTGTGTGTGTGTGTGTGTGTGAGAAATAATACCAAATGAACCCAACATGTGTCATCAGTTTATTTAGCCTATCTTCAGGAGTAAATTATACTTAAAGACTGGACATTTAAAAAGCTTTATATGTGCATTGAATTTAACCTTTAAACTATTGAGCAGAATAAATGTAAAGCTGTTTAACTAAAAGGTAAAGAAAAAAAGTGACTTATGTTCTGATATCATCAGATATAATTTATTCCATGGTCTGTCTGAATACTTGATTCTGATTGGCTGGATGTACATATCCCGATTATTACATGGCTACTTGCCACATAAGTAAATAATTAGACACTAAATATTAATTTGAGTTGAAATATTTGAACGCTATAAAGGTTCCGTGAACAGCAGTTGTGAGCAAGCGGCAAATTCAAACTAGACGGGCATTTAAGGGATATGGTGCAGTCAAACCACTTAACCACCAAACCACTTGGTGCAGTCAAGCCATGCACAACATTTCACCCAGCGACGTGCAGAGACTTCCTCAGGGGCAGGGGCTCAAATGTAAAATAGGGGCCATGTAAAAAAAAAATTATAGGTCAAAAGTTTGGATACATTACTATTTTATATTTTTGCAAGAAGTCACCTGGTCATCAAGCCTGCATTTATTTGATCAAAATTTTACTATACTTTAAAATACATTTTATGCAATGATTTATTATCAATGTTGGAAACCTGTGATACATTTTCACCTGTCATTCTTTGATAAATAAAATGTTAAAAAAAGAACAGCATTTATTTAAAATATAGGATTTGTACACTGTAAAAAATGTTCACCCCTTTCAACTTGTACTGATATTCTAATCATTTGATTCCCTCACAGAACAGAGTTTGTTTGTTATTATTTAACATCTGGTGATAATAAGAAACATCTGGCCTGAAAATAAGTTGCATCAACTTAAGGCTTTGAAGTTTCAAACATAATTTAAACTAAAAATAAATAAATAACAACTTAAAAACGTAAGTTTTGTGGCTGCCTTAAAATTTTAAGTTAAATCAACTTAAGAGTACCAGTCATTTCAACTCACTAATTTAAATCTTGCCTAGTGCTGAATTGTTTTATTGAAGTTCATTTGACTTTACAATATTTGCTGTTTCAACTTAAGTTAAACATTTTTAACATTCATTTTCTAGTTATGACAATGTAAACTTTATTTTAGATCCAGATAAAAAAAAATACAACAACATTTATTTGAAACATTTCAAATAAATTTTTTTCTTGCAGTGCTTATAAACAGGGTTTTAATATTAAGAACAGTACACAACCTGCCTGTGCATGCTAATGTGTGAATGCCAGTATATGTATTCAACAAGGGCACAAAAGTAGCAAAAAAACTGCCAAGAAACTGTCATACAAAGCTGAAAATACACTCATACCTCATGGGAAACAACCACTGAGAAAAGCTTGAAAAAAAACACATTTGTCCATTACAGTCCTTTTTTTCTTGAACATTTAAAAGGAGAAAGGTGTCCTGCAGTGCACCATCGTAGTCTTCGTATTAGGAGGGCAGCTTGCACGCCCTTCTTGTGTGTATGAAGTGTCTTACCATGAGCCTTTAAAATCAGAAAATAACAGTAAAAATTACTAACAGTTGGTTATTCTATATATAATACACACTGACAGACTTCAATATACACAAATTAATTAAACACATTCAATGTTTTGAATAACAAAAAAAAAAGTGATTGTTTAAAGGGGTGTCAAATCCTGCTCTGCGGGTCACTGTCCTGCAGAGTTTAGCTCCATCCTTAATTAAATACATCTGAATCAGTTAACTAAGGTATTACTAGGCATACCAGAAACTTCCAGGTAAGTTGTAGCTAAATTCTGCAGAAGAGTGGACATCCAGGACCGAGTTTAGACACCTCTGGTTTACAGTTTCTCTATGCTGCTTTTGTGAGTAATAGGAATGTAACAATGTACTCAAAGTCGGCTGAAATCGATGCAAATATGTGCTGCAAGTTGTTTGAGACAATAAACAAATCAAGATATGTGTTTTAAACACCAAGGGCTGCTGAAACTGTATACTGTGACCATGCTTTACAAGCACTATAGCAGCAAACATTTCGCCAAGTTAATAAATAGTAGCAAACATGATGGCGGCAGTGGCAGGGTAGATTTTTGATGAGGTGTGAGAAAGGTTTGGCTTTCTGACGACAATAAATGTAAGCGATGAGGTGGCAAGGCATGCTAGAGTTAACATTGTAGCATGAACAAGCTTTGAATAATATTTTATTGTGTATAAAGTGGTAAATACTACTTTTTTTTTGGACAAACATAGCACTCGTGTTGATTCATAAAATTGAGGTTAAACCACAGGAGTCACATGGATTACAGTCAAATGTTTGCCTATAAAAAGAGAAAAACATATGTAAGGGGGAAAAAAAACTTTAAAGTGGTTCAAATATTGACTTATCTTAAGATATAGTTAATACTCTTTATTTGGTACAGAAATGCAAAACTTACCCCTCATCCAGTCTCAGACAAACAATGCCTGTAAATTGAAAAAACAAAACAAAAAACAATTATGTAGGGAGAAAAAAAAACTTTAAAGTGGTTCAAATATTGACTTATCTTAAGATATAGTTAATACTCTTTATTTGGTACAGAAATGCAAAACTCACCCTTCATCCAGTCTCAGACTCATAAGCGTGTGCCTGTAAAAAACAAAAAAATGATTCAACTTAAATTTACTTGTAAACAACACACACACAAGCAAAGACATTTCCTATACAACAGCCTCATAACCCTTTAATAACCTGAGTTGCCTAAAAAAAAATATTAAGATGGATGGTGATCCTCACTGTAATGTGCTCAATCATAGCTTACAAAGGGAGGTAAACGTGAAATTGTTGGTTACTTGCTAATTACAGTTAAGCCCAAAGATGAAAGTTACACAACACTTTTACAGACGTTTTGTTCATGATTAAAATATGACCGCTTCATGCAACATAATGCATTTGTTTGCATTTACTGTTACCTGTAATCTGTTACCAGTAAGCAATTTGCAATCGTAAAACAAAATTATATATAAAATATATGATGATGGCCAATAAAATAACAAATGGCACAGAAAACGAGCTTGTGAGGAACAGATGTAACATTAGGCCTAACGTTACAGTGCGTCCAACTGAATGTAACGTTTCAATTTGCAATATTATATCTAAATTATATGATGATGGCCAATAAAATAACAAATGGCACAGAAAACGAGCTTGTGAGGAACAGATGTAACATTAGGCCTAACGTTACAGTGCGTCCAACTGAATGTAACGTTTAACGTGTCGGTTGTTCGGCTGACAAAAACGCCTTTCTAAAAAAGTAGTCACAAATGAACAAGGTTAACAATTGTTTGAATCGTGGTCTCTTAAATCATATTAAATACCCTAAATCTCATGAAAATCACACAAATAATATACTATCGTAATCATGTATTTATTAGCTTCATGTTTCGTGTGTAGAAAGGTTTTTTTTTTTTTCACCTTTATTTAACCAGGAAAAAAACTCATTGAGATTAAAAATCTCTTTTTCAAGAGTGTCCTGGCCAAGATAGGCAGCAGTACAACCATGCATACATACATACATACAGGTACAAAATATAATAACATAAAACAAATGAAATAGCGTAGAAACGTGTAGAAACGTTTCTTTGGGTTTGAGTACAGAAGTACATGGCAGGCATGTGCAGAGGGGGGTGTGGTGGGTTCTTTTCCCCTTGATGCCCAAAATGCCCTTTTGTCAAGGCAATTTTTTTTTTTTTGTAACTAGACACCCTTTTGTGAAGGCCTTCACAATCTAACTATTAGTAAAATTAATGAATAATAATTTAGCCATAATAATATGATCCACATGATGACCTGTCACCTGATGATTTAGTCCAGGACAATTCCTTACGTTCAGACACCTTTAGTAATTTAGTGCACTATCAGATACCTTCAATAATGTACGCGGCTGCCAGTAAGTGGAGTTATCAGAGGAGTGGTATGCTTGTTTACTTATTCATTTAATATTATTTTACAAGAATGACCTGAAGAGAGCATGTACAGCTGTTGTTTATATTGCTGTGTGTAGCCTGTGGAAGTAACCTTAGCTGCAGCAAGGGGCTATAATATTTTTGTTTAATATTTTCCTAATGACAATTTTATGATTGGTTTATAAAGGCTACTACGAACACCTTTTTCCCATTTTTATCACAGAATAAGGCAGAAAATATATTTGATAGTTTTTATACTAAATAATATGTCAATCAGTACTGCATCGTTCATATAGTTTATTTATTTATTACCTGGAGATAACTTCAAAAACACACATAAACCATATATTTTCGCAATCGTGTGTTTATTGTCTTCACGTTTCATCTGTAAAAACGTTTTTGCTTTTTATTCAGCTCAGCTACAGCCATAGCGGGATGCTTTTGTCCATATTAGGGATTTCATACACATCATAAGTTATTACTTCTATATGGGTCTGTTTTGGACTTTCTGCGCGAGAGCGCCCTCTGGCTTCGAGTATGAATGAAACATGCACTGCATGAGAGTGCTCAGCGCTCCTGATATTCACATCTCCTCATTTTGGATACGAATAAAAGGTCAGCTCACGCAAAGTCTATCGATACTGTCTCCTTGAATTTAAATGTAGATTTAAATCTAGAAACTTCAATGTGAACACACCTGCTCGAATAAAGTGCAGGGGACGAATTTACATTAATATTAAATATTTATTCAAATTAAAAATGCAGCTAACGTTGTTCTACACACAGCAATATAAACACAGGTAGCTGTTCTCTTTCCTTCTTGCTGTTTGATTAAAGGGCGTCGAGGGGTCTTGTCTTTTTTATGTTATGTGACTAAAAATGATTCATGCTTTGAACTATTATTATTACAGTATTTATTTAAAAAACGTAGAGTGCATTAAAATAATTATCACAACACTGGTAAAACAGGCTTATACTGATTTCCTCATCCTCTGAATTATACTTGTCAATCCAGTTTTTATTATCATCATTCAAAAAATGAATAAATTCAGAACAGGATTAGAATAGAATTATATTTTAAATAAAACAAATATTTTTTTCTACAACAACAGTAGTGTTTACAACAGCAAAACCACCATACACTGTTAACTCATTATTATTAATAATAATATCAATAATATAATTCAGTTTCTAATTTCAGAGCAATTAAAAGGTGCAAAGAAAAAATTATTTAACTTTTAAACTTAAAATGGTCTTTTCTGTTCTGTGTTTCTTTTTCAAAACGGTGTCATGGCATACAGAAGTATCCATTTCGGTACACGTATCACTAAGGAGCACAGGCCTATTAAAAGCCGTGTTCTATGTGCCCCTTTTATACTTTGAGCACCTGCCCCTCCAAAGGTCTCTGCACGGCCTTGGTACACGGAAGTGTAATGGAATTCCATCATCGGAAGAGACAGGGCCAGTTATGAACGCATAATATGTGTGACACAAGCAGCCAATGAGCTTCCTCTGAGTCATAACAGCGATCGCAGAAGAGAAAACAAAGGCAGACAGTGCTGAAAGCAGCTAATGGTCATCATATCATGTAAATCATTGGAAAATGAATAGACTCCTGTGCAAATTGAGAGAGATTACCAAGAACACACATGTGCTGACGCTGTTTGGTTACAACGGACATTGAGGACATGCCATGTATGAATTTTCAAGGACAACGGTTTCACCTAAAAATCTTCTTTACTGTTCTACTAAAGAAAAAAAGTCACCTAGCTATATATACATCTTAAATGGCCCAGGGGTGAGTAAACTAAAAGCAAATTTTCATTTTGGGGTGAATTATCCCTTTAAGAACTCACATTCTTGAAAGGAATGTTCTTAAAAATCATCATGTATAGGGAATTACAATTGAACCTCACAGAGACACCAGTATGCTCAATGAAGACCAGGAGTCAAATCTGAAGTTCAATCAGTTGACATAGAGTTTAGTGAAGAAGACCGAGTTCTCCACACTTCCAAGGACCGTAGAAAGTTTTCTTAAAACTAGTGTATCTATCTATTCTGGTATTTATGTTACAGTCAATGTCTGTATTTGGTATCTGAGAGGTGACTGAGGGTCTGACCCATGTCAGGAATGCAGTAACAGTGTTTACGCATTCAGCCCGACTTCCAGAGAATAAATATGCATTTGTTTTGTAATAATTCTTCCGAATCATTATATAATACAATGTTATGTTTTATAGAGAGGGAGTTATCAGTTTGAACTTTGTTCTTATTCGTTTTGTTCTTATTCGAATGTATTGTTCTGTTCCAGCCCCAGGAGGAGGACTGTAACCAAACCGCTTTGGTAGCCTTAGGACGTGACACGTACAATGCTTTGTTTACCTGTCGAAAACATTGTATTTGATACCTTGAGAGCCACACTGAACATTTTCTGAATGCACATATAGTGCCTTGAGAAAGTATCCTTACCCCTTCTTTTTTTTTTCACGTTCTATGTTGCTACCTTATGTTAAAATGCTTTAAATTACTTTTTTCCACATCAATCTAAAATAAGTTTATATATATATATATATATATATATATTTCATATTTTCACTTTTCACCCTTAATTACGTACAATTACGTATTTATATTATTGGCATAATTAATTGGAAGAACTCTTTATACACACACACACACATATATATATATATATATATATCAGATCTGATTTTTCAGCAGCCATTACTCCAGACTTCATTTTCACACAATCCTTTAGAAATCGTTCACATTGTGACAGTTTTTAACAGTTGTTAGACCTGATCACCTAGAAAAAGGAGAAATAAAAAAAGGAAAGAGGTTAAAAAGGATAAAAAGCTAGGTTAGAATCATGGAGTCTAAATTTAACATACAATAAAAAAAAGTTTAAATCATGCCAAAGATGTTTATCTATGTAACCAAAACTACTTTTGTATTCTTAAAGAATGAGGAACCTACAAAGTCATAGGCACGGGAAGTGGGGGTGCTGAGGGTGCTGCAGCACCCCCTGTTTTTTTTTCTGTGGGCAACTGTTTAACTGTTGGGAATAAAAATAAAAATAAAATCGGAGTGTCTATTTACAGTAAGTGCAAATAGTCCGCCTTGTTGCCAGAGGCTATTTACACTAACTCCACCCACCAAACGTGTGATTTTGATAGTCAACATTACAACAGACAGTAAACACTTGGCAAAATCAGTGGTGTAGATGGTAAGCATGTGTTCTAGGCTACTCCTTTTGACGCCATTGACCCGGGTTCGAATCTGCCTTTTGGCGATTTTTTTTCCTCCCTTTTCAAATTTCAAATCATATCAGAAAAGCATTAATTTTCATAAAAGTGAAGGAAATAATCAAAAAGTTGAAAATAAAGTATCGGTTAGGGTAGGTGTAGGGAGGGCTTTTGTCCCAATAAGGTGGCATCCATTTAATAATTTTAATTATAATTAAAATTTACACGCAATAAGTTATTATTGCATACTGTTTTATAATGTATTACAATGCTGAGGTGCAGATAATTGCCACTATTTGCAATAAATAATTAGCAGAATATCCTGCTATTTTAACATAGTATAAATAATCTATAGCTATATTTGCACTTAGCAGAAAATACTACTATTTTCAGTTAGTGTAAATAGCATCTCTAAGAAAATATGCTATTTTCACTTAGTGTAAATAGCATCTATCACCCTCAACCTAAAACATCTTCCTGCATTCCTGTACAAAGTTGTTACAATTGGTACAAACATTGTGAGAATGCAATCTCAACCTACTTGTTTGTCAACTTTACGTTGATTTCCTTAACATCTAAAAGGTCAATTGTGAATTTGAAGAGTCAGTAACGTTAATCAGGTGTGTCCTGAAGATTATCTGTCCAAAATTATATTAAGATTGGACCAACTTAATAAACATACACACACACACACACACACATATACAGTATTTTTGCATGTGGCCTTGAGGTAATCTAGAAACAGATAGAGCAATCAGTGATACTGTTTTTCAGAATCAGAATGAGCTTTATTACCAAGTATGTTTACACACACAAGGAATTTGACTTGGCGACAGGAGCTTCCAGTGCAGAAGTACACACATAGTGCAACATACATGATTGTGCAGACATACAGAGAATTACAGTAATTAGACAGTAGACAGTATTTAATCACTCATGCAGAAGTGCCTCAGGTTTGTCATATTCAAATAATCTAAAGTCTGTTTCATAAAGATGGTACAGTTTTCTCCTGTCAGCTACTGAAATGTTAGCAAACCAGTCTCGCTCCCAGTCTACTGCTGTCCTCTTCTTATACCCTGGGGGAAAGTGAATGTAATTATCAAGCCCAAGAATATTCAACAAATGTTCTGTATCCTCATCAAGTGTTTCCAGTTTCCCAACAAAGTCATACTCAATTTGGCACGGATGGCAGAGTCTGTATATCTGCTGCCAATGCTCATTGAAAGGCTTCTCCTTTTCAGTCTGTGGATCTAACAGGTACTTAATGAAGTGAGTAAAGGACAATCTGATACCTGCGGCGAAGGCTTCTTGAACGGAGTCAGGGGGCTTTGAAATATTTGCATAACGCTGAAGCATTGTGGACCCATACATATTGTAGAAATACTCATCTGGCTTAACAAACTTGTCTCGGAAACCAGAAATAAGTCGTACAAAAGGATCCCGTACAAAAAGGAATTTTGTGTAATTCTTCAGTTTGTGATGCAACAAAGGACGTGAGTAACGTCCAAAACGTCTCCAAAGCTTGTTAAACGTCTTATGCACTGTAGAATTATGGACTACCTTTGATGGTATGTCAAGAGGATCCAGATATGGAGCTCCATCAGGTGCCTTCAGGTTCTGGCTGAGCACAATCATGATACGTTTCCAGTTGGTACATGCTACCTTTGGTACAAAACAGTAAATAACACCATGACGATCATCCACAATGAGATGGTCAAGAGCTTTGTTTGGAATCTTGTCAAATGTGATTAATTTCTCTGTAAAATTCAGGCTACTATTGGCCAAGCAAAGCTCTCGTGTAATATGTCTACGATGTTCTTGACGCATTTTGAGGTGTGTGACATCAGTTTGTAAGGCCTTTTGCAGGTAAAAAGTCCCATCTCTTCTTGCATCCCAGCAAATTATGAAGAACGTGATCAATACTGTTCCCAAAAGAAAGAAACACTGAAGCTGCCACTTCATTCCCATTTTCATCTATAGCAGTTCCTCAAAATAAACTGAATGCCAGAATGTATTTTCTCAGAAATGGATCAAGTCGAGAATTCTGGGGGAAAACACAAAAACAAAGACATGTATGTTTAAGTTAGGATTCACAATCTACCATCACAAAATATAACCCATCACTCACCCCCTTTCTTGCCCCCTGTACTGTACATTTCAAAATGTATTTGGGGGCAGTCATGGCCTAATGGTTAGAGAGATAAGTCTCGATACCGGCAGGGATTATAGGTGGTGGGAGTGAATGTACACCACTCTCCTCCACCTTCAATACCACGACTGAGGTGAGACCCTTCAGCATGGCATTGAACTAGAGACCTGCGCGGAACGGATTTTTCAGTCCCGCTCCCGCAAGATTCTGTCCCGTGCCCGCCCGCTCCCACAGAAATATATCTTATCTGGTCCCGCTCCTGCCCGCGACATTCATGTTTTGTCCCGCTCCCGCCCGCAAAAGCCTGCATAAAAGTAATCTATATAGATTTGTTTTCAGTACATCAAAGAAATTTACATGAAATGGTGTAACATCTCCTAAGATCCACAACATCCCAGGATAAACGCTCCCGATAAAATATTTGTTATTTAGGCTAAGCATCAACATTCACAATCACAAACCACTGTTATTTTTAACAGAAAAGCAAGCATGGGCTGCTGCGTGCATGGTTTGGCATGGCAGAATGCGAGCTTCCTTTATTTTCACTAAAAGCTGACATCTCAGTTAATCGCAATAAAGCTCTGTTATAACACAATAAATATATGCACAATGAATCTTTCACAGTGTCTACACTTCCTGTGTTAAAATGAGAGGATTCGTGAGCACGCAATTTCAGCAGTGCTGTGAGTAGATTCTAACTTAATCACCTCTGATTGGCCATTGCGTTCCAGAAATCAACAGCTGAGTCTGTGATTGGCTACATTAAATAGAAACTATGCCTAGCTTGCGCATTTCAATCATTTTAATGTTAATATTAGTTGTTCTTTTTGCTTTTGTGCAACAGATAAATAACAATTTATATGTTTTAGACACTTTATGTTCAGATCATTTCTATTTTGCGGGAGTCCCGCGAATCGCATCCCACACACACACACGAGTCTCTTCCCGCCTGCACCCGCACTCGCCCATCAAGAGTTGTCCCGCGCCGCACCCTGTTACGTTGGGTCCCGCGGTAGTGCAGGTCTCTACATTGAACCCCTAACTGCTGCCCGGGCATCGCAGCAAAAATGGCTGCCCACTGCTCCGGGTGTGTATTCACGGTGTGTGTGTGTTCAATACTCAATGCTGTGTGTGTGCACTTGGATGGATTAAGTGCAGAGTAGGCTTGCCGCGATAGACGGTGCTGACAGTGATACCGGTGTTAAGCCGCAACACCGGTTACGTCACTTGCCCACCGCGTCACCAACCCCCACCGTCGTTTTGATTTTTTATAATTTAGTTCAGTAAAAGAACAGACACTACAATTAAAA